TGGGCTCAAGCGATCCTCCTGCCTCAGCCTCCCGAGTAGCTGGGACTACAGGCATGCGCCACCATGCCCGGCTAATTTTTTCTATATGTTTTTAGTTGTCCAATTAATTTCTTTCTATTTTTAGTAGAGACGGGGACTCGCTCTTGCTCAGGCTGGCTTCAAACTCCTGAGCTCAAACAATCCGCCCGCCTCGGCATCCCAGAGAGCTGGGATTACAGGCGTGAGCCACCGCGCCCGGCCTTAAAAGCTTTTTCTAAAAAAATTATTTTGCCACCTACACAGAATCAGGCAGAAAAACACTTGAAACTTGTCTCCCCCGCCCCCCACTTTTGAGACAAGGCCTGGCTATGTTGCCCAGGCTGGTGTCAAACTCCTGGGGCTCAAGCGATCCTTCTGCCTCAGCTTCCTGAGTAGATGAGATTACAGGCCCTCACCACCACACCCAGCAGTCTTATAAACTTCACGAAGTTCCTAAGGCACAAGGAACAAGCGATGCTTCCAGGTAAAAACTGAAGCCACGGGAATTCACCTGCACACCTTCTTCTCAAGATAACACAGTATACACGTGTATGTCAGCAGTTTATACCAGTATTTTTAGGGGTTAGAATATTGTACACAGTGAAGAGACAGAGGAGCACAATGTTCATGATTCACAATACCTACCAAAGTAAACTGTCCAAGAAGTTTGTTGTCTCCAGCCATTTCTCTCTCACCCTGACATACTTTAATCTCCACTTGAGTCTGTCCATCAGCAGCCGTAGAAAACACCTAGGGAGGAAGGAAACTTCCTGGATTGACAATCTGATTAAACTCCTCCCCTTATACAGACCAAATGCAAGCCAGAGAAAGAAATGTACATCCCAACACTGAAAGGGTCCTAATTTACACTATTTCAGAACAAAGGCTTATGTCTTTACAGGGAATCAGAGTAGGATTAGTACAGCAAAAGGACATACAATAGCTATTGTCTCAACTAAGCAAATGCATTGTACAAAGATGCAGCATTAGCACAGAAGGCCTCAAGAGAAGGAGCTGAAATGTTGAAACATGCTCCTCTGGGGAAATGAGGATCAGAGACAGGAGATATTATCATGTGCTCAGTCGTGGAAGTCACCACACACAGTTTTTCAGAATGATGTGTTGACAAATACATCACTGCACAAATATAGCAATAGCTATAGTTTTTTTTAAAAAAAATCAAGACTGGGAAAGTCAGGAAACAATTCCTAATCCAAGACCAAGCCATGTTCCAATAACCTTGCTTATTATCTTAGTACCTCCATCCCACCCCCATCATTCATTTGAACATAAGACAAACACAGTCCCCTAAGTCTTGGCTAAGCTATTGTTTTTTCCTTTTTGAGAGAGGATCTTGCTCTCTTGCCCTGGCTAGAGCATAGTGGCACAATTATAACTCACTGCAGCCTCGAACTCCTGGGCTCAAGCGACCCTGCTATCTCAGCCTCCCAGGCAGCTGGACTACAGGCATGTGCCACTATGTCCAGCTAATTTTTTAAATTTCTTGTAGATGGGGTCTCATTATGTAGACCAGGCTGAGTTTGAACTCTTGGCCTCAAGACATCCTCCCACCTCAGCCTCTCCAAATGCTGCGATTACAGGTGTGAGCCACCTGCCATGTTCTTTTTACTGTATTTGAGAACAGAAGACTACAGGGAATTCAGTCCCACAGAAAAGAGACTCCTTTTAGCAGATCATGTTAATTATGTGAATGAGAGACTATTCATGTCCTCCCTACAATCATCACTGCTAGCTGATATGTAAGAACTTTCCCAGAAACAAAAAACCACAAAATATGACATTCTCACCACCCATAGTCAACTAGTCTGAACTACAACATAGAAGTATTCTATAGCTTACAAAAGTGGCTACAGTCACATCCCTCACAGAACCTAATACCTATGTGACAAGGTAGGGAGGAATGGCTCTTACCTGGCTCTTCTTGGTTGGAATAGTGGTGTTCCTGTTAATAAGCTTGGTAAAGACACCTCCCAGAGTCTCAATACCCAGAGATAGGGGAGTGACATCCAGGAGCAGCACATCTGTGACATCACCAGCCAACACACCTCCCTGAATGGCAGCTCCAATAGCCACAGCCTCATCAGGATTGACAGCTTTACTTGGGGCTCGGCCAAAGAGATCCTGCACAGTCTGCTGAACCTGAGCATCGAGGAAAAAGAACCTGTCACCCAACACACGGGCGAACTGTCTGAGAAGAACAGAAGACGGCACATGTGTCCTAAGCTCCCAGCCAAATCTCAAAGACAAGTTGATTCAGATCCAAGAATGTTTACTCAAATTACTATTTCACAGCTGAATTCTTATTAATTATCTTATAACACTCAAATACACTTTATAATCCTACAAATCACTTAAAACAGAGAGTACAAGGCAAAAGGACTTAGAAATTGTGTAGTCCAAGTCCTCTTCTATATTATCAACTAAAAAACAAAGGAAGCTGTAGTCACAATTCAAAACTGTTGCTACTGTGGGGCACGTTCTTCCCTTCTGTATATTAGGGGCAAGGAAAAGTATATTTGTATAGCATCGAGGATAATTTGTTAACATGAAGTTATCTGCCTGGCCCAGAGTCTCTTTTTTTCCAGGTTGATTTTGTACATATTTCCTAAGCCCATGTGTTTCAATGGAAAAATAAGAAAACAACAAAATCACTAACTCAGGATCAAAATAATTGTATTTAGGCTACCAAGGAAGAATTGTACCTTCAACGAACAGGTTTGTGCTCAGTCATTAGTACTCTACACATCTGTGCTTTCAGAATGATGTGTTGATGAATAAAATGCATCACTGCACAAATCTCTGTTGAAGAGACAGAAAAATAAACCCCCAGGTACTATGCTACAAAGATCCAGGCCCAAGACTCCCTAGGGGCTAATTAGTACCTAGGTTTTAAGCTATCTTTGACCTCAAACTGTTTCATTCCTAAAAATTCTACAAGACCGAGTCCAGGATCGCTATGTCTCCTGGGCTAAAGTGCAGTGGCATCATCATAGCTCACTGCAACCTCAAACTCCCGGGCTCAAGTGATCCTCCTGCCTCAACCTCCTGAGTACCTGGGACTATAGGCATGTGCCACCACGCCCAATTAATTTTTCTATTTTTTGTAGAGAGATCTTGCTCTTGGCTCAGGCTGGTCTCAAACTCCTGGCCTCAAGTGATCCTCCTGCCTTGGCCTCCCAAAGTGGTAGGATTACAGGCGTGAGCCACCGAACCAGGCCTTATATTCTTTAAAAAGGCTGAAAAGAACTCTTTACTGAGGACATAATCTCTTCCCCCTTTTAAGTCACTCTGGCACAACAGGGCACATATTCATGTCCACAGACAACATAAGCCACTTGTCCCAAAAATACATTATGTACCAGCCTTCTCTTCTCTCCGTGACAAGAAAACCATGGAGCCATACCTTAGGCATCCTAGTCATGCCACCAACAAGAATTACTTCTCCTATGTCACTCTTGCTGACTTCTGCATCTTGCATAGCTTTTTGGCATGGAGCAACAGTCCTTCTGATTAGATCAGTGACGATCCCCTCAAATTGAGCACGGGTCAACTTCATGTTCAAATGCTTGGGTCCAGAAGCATCCATCGTAAGATATGGCAAGTTGATGTCGGTCTGCAAAGGAAATGTTTAATTGTCTGTCTGTGGGGAAACCAATGGTGGTTAAGCTTATTATGTCAATTAAAAATAAGACCACTCCCTAGGACAGGAAGACTTGGAAAGCTACAAGGAGGGTGAGACCTACTTTAAATGTAAACAGCCACCAAAGACAGTGACTCTAAGATGCAACCTCTTATCTCTCCAGAGAGAAACACTATAGAAGCTGTTTTAATGAGATCTATAGTTATTAACAATGAAGCATAGACAAGTAGGGAAAACCCCTGCTAAGAACTATTCTGCCACTAAACATTCATTAAGAATCACATAGTGGGGAGGGTGGGACTGGGGGGTGAAGAAAGAAAAACTACCTATCAAGTGCAATGTGCACTATTCAGTGACGGACACGCTAAAGAACCCAGACATCACCACTATACAATTGATCCATGTAACCAAAAGCCCCTGTACCCCTAAATCTATCAAAATAAAAAAATCTAGAGAGACAGAGCAAAAAGATCAGTTGTTGCCAGAGGTTGAGGGGAGAGAGGGATGACTAAGAGCACAAAAAAATTTTAGGGCAGTAAGGCTATTCTGTATGATACTGCAATGGTAGATACATGACATTATGCATTTGGCAAAACCCATAGAATGTACATCACCAAAAGGGAATCCTAATGTGAACTATGGACTTTGATTAATAATAACGTTCAACATTAACCCATCAAATGTAACAAATGTACCACACACTAACATAAGATGTTAATAGGGAAAACTATGCAGGTGGAGCAGGGAGAGGAAGTATTTGAGAACCCTCTGTACATTCTTGCTCTAATTTCCTAAAACTACTCTAAAGAATAAAGTGTATTAAAAAAAATACATAAACGATTATGCACTTCAAGATGGCAACAGTAGAGCAACAACAAAAACAATCATACTACTAAAGTTTTCTTTCACCAAGTTTTAAAAATATCCTATGTACATGAAGAAAAAATAAAGGTAGGCTCTGAACCAAAGAACCTGTCATCAACCCTGGGCCTTCTAAGTTCCAGGAAGTTTATAAGTGGTAAGAAAGCTTCAGAAATGTTTAATAAGAGAATTATAAGGACTGGCTTTCATGGCTATCACATCCATGAGAGTACAGCTGATGGTCACATGTAAAATCCAGTATTTGATAAATCACAAATCCTAGTAGGGCATGGGATCTTAGGATGTGTAGAACAGAGTGAATCCCTTAACCACCTTTTTTCGGGAGAAAGTACTATAGACATTTAAATACTTAATAAATAATGAAAATCAGTTAACACTATCTATAGAAATATTGATATTTAAAGAATACTATTAACAATGTCCTTCTTTCTTTGCAAAATGTTAATAAACCAAATCAGAAAATAGAATTAAATGCTATCCACTAGAACTTTCTATGACAATGGAAGTGTTCTTTATCTATGCTATTCAATTCAGCAACCTCTAGCCACATATGACCGATGAGCACTTGAGAGACTAGCATAACTGAGAAACTTTAGATTTTAATTTTAATTAATTCAAATACCCACATGTGGCTACCGTAGTAGTACAGCTCTAAACGCTAAAAGTTAATAGCAGTCTGAAAAACTCCAGCACTACCAACTCTCAACCCTCTGCAGCCAGTCCATAAAATGTTTTGTCCTGCTCTCTCTCAACCATTTTGAACCATTTATCACTCACTCTTACATTCTAGTCCAAGTCCTATCTCAGCACGTGTTTATAACAGCCTCACCGTGTCTTCCCACATCCATTCAGGTGCCTTCTGCTGCAGGACCCCTTACCAAACATTTCTCCACTCCAGCCCAAGCCAGAGAACTTTCCACAAATCAAAACTTGACCACGTTACTACTCCCAATTTAAAACTCTTCTGGGATTTGTACTCACTTATCTCAGAACAGACACCAAATCCCAAATCTAGTGAGCCTCTAGCCTCATTGTCCATGCTTGCCAATCCCCATCCCCACCCCATCCCTGCCAATATGCACTCTGCTCTTTTAGCCACTCCTGGCCCTTTCTCAAATCTTACTTCAGAGCCTTACACTTACGGCCCAACCCACCCTTCCTGGTCAACTCATCTCTCAGAAGCTATCCTTGTTATGCTGAACACCTCTTTCGGGTTCCTTCTGATAATTATACATGTAACTGCCTTTTTATAATTTGTTACATTAATAGCAACATATTTAGAGTATTATTTACTACAAGTTTCCTAATAACATTGTATCTATTAATTTGGTAGTCCTCACAACCCTAGGGGGAAAGTTACCACTATTATCCTTATGTTGTAGCTAAGGAAACAGAAAT